CTCAAACTCAATTCTTGGATGCTTAGAACTGAATACAATGGGGTATTTATACTACTTCCTAAGGGACCTAAAAATACATAAATTAATGGAAATATCTGAGGTGAGTAGTTGTGAGTTAAAAATTGGTGGTGATGGTGTTTCCATTGTCAACAATGGCAGCTGTTTTTCTAGAAGCTCTGGAGTCTTCCATGGCTTTCGAATTGGGCTGATGTTGGGCTTGTTTCTGAATCATTCTCCCCGGGTTAGAGAAGACTCGTCCTCGAGTCTAGTCGTTTCTTCCTCAAAATAGGGCGAAAGGTCTGCAACATTAAATGTGGCGGACACTCCATATGATCCTGGTAGCTCAATCTTGTAGGCGTTATCATTAATCTTTTGAACTACTCGGAATGGACTATCAGCTCTTGGAGATAGTTTAGCATTGGGTTGCTTCGGAAATCTTTCCTTTCGCAGATGAATCAATACTAGATCTCCTTCGTTGAATACCTGTTGCTTTCTGTGCTTGTTGCGTTGAGCCTTGTATCTGACATTCTGCTATTCAATTCTGACTCGGACATCTTCATGAAGCTTCTTGATCTCTTTGGCTCTCTTGTCAGCTTCAGCACTGAAATGATTCTTGGTAAAACTAGGAACCAGGTCTAACGGACTGAGAGGTCGAACACCGTATGCTACTTCGAACGGACATTTCCCGGTTGCCTGGTTGGTAGAGTTATTGTAGGCGAACTCTACTTGTGCTAGAATCTGATCCCACTGGCGTATGTTTTTACCAACAAAGCTCCGTAGCAGGTTGCCTAGCAGTCTATTGATAGCTTCTGTCTGGCCATCTGTTTGAGGGTGGCTGACAGTACTGAATGTAGTTTAGTTCCCATTTTCTTCCACAAAGTCCTCCAAAAGTGACTTAGAAATTTAACATCTTTGTCAGAAGTAATGGTCTTTGGAATTCCATTGAGCCGAACAATTTCCTTGAAATACAAGTCAGCAGTATGGACGGCATCATTGGTCTTTTGACAAGGAATAAAATGTGCCATCTTTGAAAATCTATCCACGACTACCATAATAGAGTCTTTTTGTCTTTGAGTTTGTGGTAGTCCTAGAACAAAGTCCATGCTGACATCTTCCCAAGGTGCTGCAGGTACGGGTAGAGGTAGATACAATCCAGTATTATGTCCCTTAGTTTTGGCAAGATGACAAGTTCTACATCGTTGGATGTGTCTATTAACATCGCGCTCCAATTTTGGCCAATAAAAATTTTCTTTGATAAACGCAACTGTCTTGTCTCTGCCAAAATGTCCTGCTAGTCCTCCATTGTGAGCTTCCCATATGATGCCTTCTCTTAGGGAGCAACGTGGCACACATAATAGATTGTTTTTGAAAAAGAACCCTTCGTGACGGTGGTAATGCTGAGATGGTTGTTTCTCAGTTGATTTCCAAACACTACTAAAATCAGGGTCGTCCTGATATAGTTCCTTGAGAACTTCAAAACCAATGACCTTCGTTTGTAGGGTAGACAGTAAAACATGGCGTCGGATGAGGGCATCGGCTACAGAATTTTGTTTTCCTGACTTATGTTTAATCAGGAAAGGATATGCTTGCAAAAATTCAACCCATGAGGCATGTCGTCGGCTGACCTTTTGCTGGGAGTTCAAATATTTGAGAGCTTCATGATCTGAGTACAGAATGAACTCCTTAGGTAGCAAATAGTGACTCCAATGTTGTAAAGCTCGGACAATGGTATAAAGTTCCTTATCATAGGTGGAATATCTGAGCTTAGCATCATTGAGCTTCTCACTGAAATATGCTATAGGTCGACCCTCTTGACTTAGCACGGCACCTATACCAACGTTTGAAGCGTCACAATCTACTTCGAACACTTGGTCAAAGTTTGTAAGTGCCAACACAGGAGCCTCGGTTAGATGTTTCTTTAGGGCTTCAAAACTCTGTTGCGCTTCTGTGGACCACTTGAATTGATCCTTCTTGATGCAACTGGTGAGTGGGGCAACAATGGTACTGAAATTCTTAATGAACCTGCGGTAGAAAGATGCAAGTCCATGGAAGCTTCTGACATCGTGGACTGATTGAGGAATTGGCCAATTGTTGATGGCCTCTACTTTGCTGGGGTCTACTCTTATTCCTTCGGTATTTACAATGTACCCAAGGAATGTGACCTTATTTGTCAAGAAAGAGCATTTCTCTAGATTGGCGTAGAGCTTCTGTTGTCGAAGAACCTCTAGCACTTGTCTTATATGTTCTAGGTGCTCTTCTTTATTCTTGTTGTAGATCAGGATATCATTAAAGTAAACCACAACAAACTTTCCACTGAAGGGGCACAATACCTGATTCATAAGGCGCATAAAAGTACTAGGAGCGTTGGAATGTCCAAAGGGCATGACTGTCCATTCGTACAGACTGTCTCGAGTCTTGAATGTTGTCTTCCATTCATCTCCTGATCTGATCTTGATCTGGTTATATCCGCTTCGCAAGTCAATCTTGGAGAAGATAGTGGCTCCATGCAGCTGGTCTAATAGATCGTCGAGTCGTGATATCGGAAATCGATACTTGATAGTGATCTTATTCACGGCTCGGCTGTCCATGCACATTCTCCATGAGCCATCCTTCTTGGGGACTAGTATGACAGGAACAGCGCACGGGCTGACACTTTCCTGGACTAGACCTTTCTTTAATAATCCTTCAACCTGCCTTTGTACTTCAGCGTGCTCTTGTGGACTCATCCTGTAAGCAGGCTTATTCGGTATCACAGCTCCAGGGAGAAAATCTATTGCATGTTGGATGTCACGCATAGGCGGTAATCATGGAGGAATCTCTTTTGGAACAACATCTGAGAATTCAGTCAGTAGTGGCACAAGCTCAGGTGGAAGATTAGTTCCACAGTTTTGCTCAAGCACTAACAGAAATCCCAGATGATTGGCTTCATCTTTAGTCACCTTGATGCTGCTTTGGGTGGCCAAAGATACCAATTATGTGGATCTTTCACCATGGAGGCCTTCATTTGGAAAGAGAGGTGTTAACTTGACTTTAACACCGTCCTTCGTGAACGAATAAGTGTTAGCATGGCCATCGTACTGCACATGCCTATCATATTGCCATGGTCTTCCAAGGAGGAGGTGACAGGCATCCATAGGGATCACATCACACCAAATTTCATCTTTGTACTTCTGGCCAATAGAGAATGAGACAAGGCATCTTTTTGAAACCTTAACTTCACTCCCTTTATTAAGCCATTGCAACTTGTAAGGTGTGGATGAGGTTGAGTAGACAACTGTAATTTATCTACCATGTAGCTGGACACCACATTTTCACAACTTCCACTGTCTATGATGATGTCACAAACTTTGCCATGACTGGTGCATCTAGTGTGGAATATGTTGTGCCGCAACCATGAAACTTCCTTGGATGGTGCGGTGTGTAGGCTGCGCTTGACAATCAGCAGTTCCCCATGATCTGCAGGCGTGATCTCCTCGTCGTATATTGGTTCAGAGAGATTCTTCTTGCTCTTCATTTGACAGTTCATAAGGCTCTCCCTCAATGATCGTGATAACCTTTCAGTTAGGACAATCAGAGGATATGTGTCCAAAGCCTTGACATTTGAAACATTGGATATCTTTTTTGGATTGTATGGAGGGTTTATTGGTGTTGGTGTTCATGGTGGGTTAGGTTTGAGTTTTGTTGGTGGTAGATGGTTGAGTAGTGGAGGTTTTCTTTGTGTATGGAGGGGTTCGGGAAGTTTGGAAGGTTGGAATGGTGATTTGGAGGAGGAAGGGCGGAATTGTGGCTTTGAGGACAATTGTTGTTCTATCCTGGTGGCAAGGTTAATGACATCATCCAAGGTCAAATATTGCTGTAGTTGAACTTGGTGAGCTATATTTAAGTCGCCAATATAACGAGCTATAGATTGTTCCTCGTCTTCATTCAGCTCGCAACTCATTTTTACCTCCTCAAATGTGCTTGTATATTCCTCAATTGTCATCGTCTTTTGTTGAAGGTTATGATAATTAAGGAAAGTATCTTGACGATAACGAGTTGATATATACTTCTTTTTGAGGTGCTTCTTCATTTTTTCCCAGTTGCGAATCTTACCTTTGTCATCTCTAACTCGCGTGCGTTGGAGATTCTCCCACCATGTAGAAGCATGTTTTTTTAGTATAATGGCAACTAACTTGACCTTTTGCTCCTCTGGAATATCCTTTAGATCGAATACTCTTTTGACTGTTCGAAGCCAGTCTAAGAATATTTCAGTATCTAACTTCCCTTCAAAATCTAAAATATCTATTTCAAAACCTCTAGGGGAGCGTGGGGCTCTGGAACGGCGTACTTGTGAAGCACTGGATATGGAAAGGTCATCACTCTGGTCAGAATCTTGGTCCTGATTCGAGTTAGCCTTTAGCTCTTCTATTTGAGCTTGTTGATCTGTAATTGTGTCTCGCAACATATCTAGTTGTCGCCTTAAATCTTCTACTTGGATATCTCGGATGGTTGGATTGGTTT